GCAGGAGTGCTGCTGCGCTCCCAGTGCCGCACTCTCCCGAGTGCGCCACGGGCTCGGCCCTACTGGCAGTATTTTTAAAATAGATGTTTTAATGGGGAATTTTCAATAATTCAAAAAAGTCCACTAGTTTTTAGGAATATACTTAACTGCATAAAATAAGGTATATTCATTCAAGGAAAATAACTGCTATTTCAGAAACATTTAAGAGGTAATTTTTATCATTTGACCAGAGAAGTGCTAAAGCAATCTATAAAGAAAATCAGTTAGGAAAAGAGACATTGTGGAACAAAAGCTTTTGAATATTTCCCAAGGAGAAAAGAATCTTAAGGAAGTATCTAACTTATAATTAAAAGCCGTAAAGATGAGAAGCTACTTTTATTCTGTACTAACAATTTTAGCTAAGAAGTTTTCATTTGACGTAGTATTTTGTTTGTAGATAACAATTCTCATTTTTCCACTTTAACACCTGGAAAAGGTCTAATATTGGAAATTGCATTATTATAATTTCCTTACCATCTTTATCAAAGTGAAATATGTATAATGTATCTTTCATGTAAACCTGTCATTCACAGTAGAACCTAAAGAGTGTTTACCACTTTAAAAATAATTCTGGAAAGGCAGAGGTCGTCCTGCAGTATCTGCAGGAGACTGGTTTCAGGATCCCAGGGGGCCCCAAAATCTGAGAATGCTTAAGTCCCTGGCATAAAAAGGTGCAGTTTTTGCATATAGCCTATGCACATCCTCCTGTATATTTTGAAACATCTCTAGATTACTTATAATACCTAATACAATGTTAAGTGCTATGTAAATAGTTGTTATACTATATTTTTAATTTGTACTACTTCTTATCATTGTACTGTTATTTTTTGTTTCCTGCCCCTACCCCCCCCCATATCTTCCATCAGCAGTTGCTTGAATCTGGGGACAGAGAATCCACAGACGTGGAAAGCCAACTGTATGTCATCCTCTGTTACATCTTAGATAAGTTCACTGCTACTTATTTTAGCACCTAAAAGACCAAAGGTATTCTACATAGTTCCTTCTCCTTACAGCACAATTTGTGGTACTGATTCAATCAACATCACTTTATACCTATTCCATCTGAGGACTGTCTAAATTCTGTTGAAATACAGAAGACTGAATTCTAATCTTCATAGGTTATTAGTTATGCAAGAAGTCATCATGCACATAAATTTTAGCTTTCTTTTGGAATCACAATATGCAAGAATGACTATGGTAGATGGCATGTAACTTCTTGCATGAATTAGCACTTTCTAGATACCCAGTCTAACAAAATAAAAGCAAAAATGTAGCTCTTAACAGTATAAAACAAAGTTATAGAAACAACCAGAAACCATACCAGAATCCTCACTGCTGACATAAATGACTACAATTGTAACCACTCGCAGTCTACCTGGTCTAGATTTTTCTATTCTCTGGCCTAAATTTCTCTGGTTCAATACCTGCTAGCTGTCTCTAAGTTTTAGTAAAAATTGTGGCCACGTGAGTAGGTACATAATACAAATCTATTACATGAAAGGAAATATAACTATAAATATATACTCAATTTTAAAAATTTATTAATATATATTCTGCTTCCTTCAAATGTCACTAAGACTTGTATTTAAAATGCAATATATTACCTTGACACACAAAATACTTTTAAAATGTTGAATCGAATCATATAGGTTCCCTCACTAACCCATCTGCAAAATTCACTACTCCTGGTTCCGCATTTATTTTTGGTGGAAATTTTCAAAATACTTGACTGAACTGGAACGTTCAATTCTCTCAATCTTTAAAAACAACTTCTCCATTACAATTCATAAGAAAGCTTCATACCCAATGGAAAAACATGAGCTCAAGGAGAATGTCCTTCATTTGAAGACAGATGGGGATATATTTTTCAAGAGTATTTTACATACCCTGGTCAGGAGAATCATCCCTTGATACTAATATTCCATACTAAACATGACACATCCATCATTACTGTCTAGCCACTTCGAAATCCAAAGTTTAAGTCCACCTCCTCTAAGGATCCATTCCCAGTAACACACCTGGAAGTGATCCCTTTCCTATATTTCTTAAGACTTTCATTATTTTTCTACCTTGTCCGAATCATCTTGGCATGCCCCCAAAAACCTACTTCACTGTGCCTCATAGGTACCTCCTAGGTATTCAAATATGTTTGTAAATCAGATTTCTTTGGTTCAGGGTTTTCATCAATGTTCTCTTAAACCAACTTAACAGGCACACACTGTCTGACAACAGCTTACAGGGGTAGCACAGGTCTTCTGAGAAAGTCTTTTCAAAATAACCTTCAGCTTTAAAGAAGTGCTCACCAAAACTCAATTAGGTAATCACAACAAATCAGCATGCCCAAAATTAAAGCTTCAAGGAGTAGATGAAAAGAAGCAGAGATGATAGAGATGATGAATGTGGATGAAAAGGACGTTTTATATTTAAATTGCAGTAAAATTAAATGCTTTAGTGTGATTTTAAAACAAGCTGCAGATTTTCTCTGTTCGGTGGATCGTTTCTAGGAGTTAGCATTACAACCTTGGAAGTCTTGTTCACTTTGTCCTGCAGCATTTTTTCAGTTGATGCCAATGCTTCCATTGCTTCCCAGTTTTTCTCCCGAAGGTCCTAATCATTTTTAGAAAAAATGATTTCAGTTTATCTATTATTAAAAGATTTTTGCTTTTTACTTAATCAGTATTTTGCACTGCATTTAAATGCTGGTTACTGCAAAATTATTTCAATGGGAAAATATGTATATTAGCAAAAAAACAAAATGCAATGTTTAGAAGTTTGAATGAGAAAATAAAGATGCCCGTATTCCCTGTTTTAGTATAAACACTAAATATGCCAGCTTTTAAAATAATTACTGTGCACATGTGACAACAAAGAAAGCATTCAAAAGTAAGCACACAAACCAAGATCACAAATATGATTTCAAATACACCAAACATTAGAGGATTAAGGACAGAGCAGATATACAAGTATCACAAAAAGCTTTACATGTGATTTTTAAACAAAGCCCAATATCACTTTTGAGACTTTCCTCTGTAGCATAACATTTTTCCCACTAACTATATTTTAATAAAATTAACATATTTCAAATTTACCTAGGAATGGCACAGTAATTCACTGTATTCTATATCTTTTTTTGGTATGGTCAAATGTGCATGCCACAAAACAACCTAACGTGAATATACAAGTATGAGCTAGTTGATTGAGGTAAATGGGGAGGTATGCAAAGTTATAAATATAAAACACATTCTCCTGGAAGAGAAACAGAGGGCACTGAAGATTGAGCTCTGAAAAATCTAGATTTTTAACAAAATTTCATTAGCAAATACAAATAAAGGCAATTTGCTATATTTCAGTTCTTCAAATCAGAAATCTAAACAGATAAAAACAAACAACAAATAATAAAAAGCCAATAATCACCATTTATGAATGCTTTATTATGTGTTAAAACACCATACTTGGTGCTTCACAAATTCTCATTAATCCTTACAACAACTCAATGAGGTATGTATTCCCATTTTATACATGGGGAAACCACAGCTCAAGTAGGTTGAAAAATTTGGCCAAGTGTACACAGCACGTGAATTGGCAGAATTAGAATGAACTGATGCTGCAATCTGCCAGCCTCCAGCATCCTGGCTCTTTTCACACACTTCAATGCCTCCAGCACTGCTGCTGCAGTTGTATTAGTCTGGCATTAACCACACCCTCCTTATCTCAGAATTCCGGTAATAAAACATAGTTAAGATGTTAGCAGTATATCGGCAAATTCACCTCAAGTTTTGTGGCTAAGCAATGCTATTAGTAATGTTACACAAACACACAAAGGGCAATCCATGTACCTAATTTTGACAAACTCAGTGGTGCAGGAAAATGCCAACTTGTTAAATTAATAATTTAACACAAACTTTGAAAAATTTAATTTACATTATAAAACACATATCTATTATCAATACCCGTTAGCTTTCAATAACATTTTAGCCTTCCTCAAGTCTTAGCAATCATACTTTTGTGTGAAAATATTCCTTCTCTAACAAGAATGTTTGGATTCTACTTATAGGTGTCAACTCCCAGTAAGAGAGGATTTAAGAAATTCACCTAAATTCACTATTTATTAAGTAAGAATATTAGGATTTGTATTTCTTAAAGCACTATCCCTCCTCATTTTACTATAAATGTATTGAGGTTCTAAGACCTCTAACACAATTATCAAAATTTGAAACACCTCTCAGTTTAAAAAGGGAGGTTCCAGAAGGCTTTGAAACACTTAATTATTAAGCATATTGGGTTTGAACACTGACATTACTTTTAGTTTACAAAAGGGCTAGCCCAATCCAAGTAAGAGGAAATACCTTTGATATAAAATACTAAGCTGAGAGAATGATTTTTCCAAATAGAAGTTTAACACAAAGTCAACTGCATATTTAGTTTAAAAAAAAAAAAAACACAAAGTCTAATCATTATAGCTTTGATATTTAAAATGATGTTCACAAGTATAAGATCTGGTCTTTTTTCACTTATTAAAAAAAAAATCTGCTCTCCAATAAAATAATTACTTCAATATCCAGCCCCCTTAAAAGCCACACAGAGAAAATAACAATACATTCTTACAAAGATTTTAAAAATCCAAAGATAAAAATCCACAGAAAAAAAAAATTCCTGAATCATAGTTCAATGCCAAAGTAATAAAAAGGAATACTTCATTCTGACAAATATTTGCTTACGTTGTTTTTCTTCCTTTGGTGTTCAACAGCATCCTTCAAAGAATCTAACTCATTCCGAAGACCAGTTATTTCCTTCTCTCTTTCTGAAATTCTAAACCAGAACATGAATATATATAGCAAAATTTCAGGGAAACATAATATAACTTAGATACCTACATATCAACATTTGTTACTACAAAATAAAAAACATCAAGTAGATGATGCTTTGAAGAATGCATTAACTTAATAGCTTAGCTACTGTTTACCACAGAAAGACCACCCTATGGATTCTTATTTTAGAAATAATTTTTAAAATAAGTCTCTCATACACAATATGATATGCTGAGATTTATGCTAAAGAGAAATCTCATCCCCTAAGAAATAGTTCATGAATATATGAACTGCTGTGGTTGTAGTTATTTCCGTTTTTACCTGGTCAGTGCAGTAGCTATTTTCAGAGGAGTGAAAACTGATATAGAAGCAGTCTCTTAAATATATTATTATTTTTCAGAAGGCAATGAAATCAGTAATGACTTTAAGTGGTTATAACCCACAACAAAAACATGATATTAAAATGAGCTAGGTGTTCTCTTGCCATTTTCACACCAATCTCAGGATTCATGTAGTTTTCTGGTCCTGTCCAATTATTTCCCAGAAATGCAGAAAGTACTGACAAAGATTCACAATTCAGTTCTGCTATAGTTGAGAGTGGCTTGGGTAGAAAGTTAAATCACAAATAGCTCTTCCCTGAGAATAAGGCTCTAAATAAGGGGTTGGCAGACTAGGGCTCTGGGCCTAGCTCACAGTCTGTTTTGGTATGGCTCTTAAACAAAGAGATGTTTTTACTTTTTTAAAAGGTTGTTTGGAAAAAAAAAAAAAGAATATGAAAGAGACCTATATGGCCACAAAGTTTAAAATATTCACTACAAAGCCCTTTATAGAACATATTTGCTGACTCTTGCATACAGTACTCAAGACTCAATTTAACAGTAAATAATTCTAACATAGTAAAATGGCCAACTTTGTAAACAAGCCAAGATAGAATAAGTTAGATTATTCATATCACCTATTAATACGTTTAATGTGGTTGACATTTAACATGTTAAAACATACCAACTTATCTGATATGACCTTAAATGTGACAGGCTGATCAAAAAAAAAAAGTTTCAGTAAAAAAAGGTCTCCTTGAAAGAGAGCAACCATAAAGATTACAAGTTTTCTTAAAAATGCAGAAGCTAAACTAAAATTTGCATTGCTCAATTCCATAATGATATCCAGAAGAAAAAAAGACTCAGTAGGATAATTAAGATAACTGAAAGTGATTTAGTAAAGCTTTCAAAGTCTAGTTTAATTTGTTTCAATGTTTTCTAAATGCCTGGTGAGAGGTGAGAGGGGGAACCCTCAACAAAATATTCAGACATCCAAATACCATAAAAAGGTGCATTAATAACCAAAGGCACAGCTAAGCTCTACTGACCTAAAGTTCAAGATATCCAAATAGAACGGTAAAAATTAGGTGACCATCTGCAGTTACATTAAATTGCTTATCTGAGAACTGTTTAGCACATAAAGTTACCACTTCCCAAATTGTAAATCAAACTCATTACTTACACTTCTAATAATTCTTCATGAGGGGGAAAAGAAGATGCCTATTAAAAGAGTTAAATATTATTTCAAAACAAAGCTTTCTAGAAGACTTAAATTAAAATTCTTCTCAAATATAAATTAAAAACAACACCAAAAGTAAAAATACCATATATTATACATGCCAGTCACCTTGGCTTTAATTAATTTTAATAAAAACGTGTACAAACTTATAAAATGCACTGAAAACTAAATCCAATTTTCATTATCAGTTCATACTTATACTCTTCATTTAGTATTTATTGATTTCCTACTATGTGCAAAGTACTATTATACTGTGTAATTTACATCTGACTACGTAAAAATTTTAAGCTTGCAGAAGTCAAAAAAATACCATAAATGAAATAAAAAGAAAAACTAAAAAAAAATCATTTCCCAATACAGAACAAAAAGTTAATTTTACATAATATGCAAAGGTACATTGTCCTTTGCACGTAGTATTTATTCCTTGATGATTACAATCTCCTAAACTAAGCTACTATAAGCTTTCTTGTTGACAGGGACTCTAATTCTTTTGTCCCTTGTAGTGGATTGAATTATGTCCCCCCGCCCCCAAAACTCCCTGAAGCTTGAACTGTGTCCCCCAAGATTTTGCATTAAAAACTTAGCCCCCACTGTGATTATTCAAAGGGTGGGAAATCCTATTATGGCAATTGAAAAGTGGGGCCTTAAAGAGGTGATTAGATTTTGAGGACCATGCAGTAGTGAATGGATTAGAAATGGTGGTCAGGGCATGATTCTGAAGGCTTTAAAAGTTTAGGAGAGTCTGTCTTTCTCTCCCTCTGCTCCCTTTGCTTCCTTTCTCCATGTGATCTGCTTGTACCCGCCAGCTGCCTGCCGCTTTCCACCATGAGTAGAAGCAGCCTGACACCCATGCCAGATGCAGCTGTCCCAGAATCGTAAGCCAAATAAACCTCTGTTCTTTATACATTATCCAGTTTCAGGTATTTCTGTTATAGCAATACAAAACGGACTAATACATCCCTCAAAATACTTTCTGGTCTATCCATATATGTTCATAAATTAATTTAAAGGATATTTTGGGTAACATATCTTTAAAAAACACATTTTTATTTTATGTTTACCAAGGAGGATTATACCTTGAAAAGGTATGTTAAACAGTGGTAGCATATCACTTAGAATATTACACATTTATTAGTTTCTCTCTAATTCTTGATGTTTTGTTTGGAGAAAAGGGAGATAGGGTCTACACATACATTTAAACTAACCTCTATAGGATTTTAACTGACTTGCTAAGAAAACCACTGTAGAGGATCAGAAAACACACACACAGATAGAAAACAGAGCTGGAATACAGATAGTAATGTTATTTGTGTATACTTTATAAATCGTGGATTATTTTATCTTGTATTTGGCATAGCAAATTACTTTGTTTCATAGGAAATTTGATAAACACTTGTAAATAAAAGACATGCTTTATTTTCAATAAAAATACAAAAATGGTGAGAAAACTTAGTCATTAGTTACATAATATTTTACCACACAAATAAAAGGCAAGACATCTAATAGTACCTACCTTTTGGTAGTTCTGTTGCTTGAGCTGCTCAATTTGGTATTTAAACAATTTGTTTTCATTCTGTACCTCCTATTTAAACAAAAATTAAGCATGAATACCTGAATAGAGATTTTTATTTTCCATATAAACTTTTAAAACATAACAATCACACAAGCTAGGAAAATTCCAAACTAGTAATAATTTTTTAAGTGTGAAATAAGCCCTGTATTAAAACATATTATGAAATTAGAATAATTATATTTAGTACTAGCCTGTGAATGGGCATGTCTCAATAAAACAAAATAAGATCCAGAAACAGACCCAAATATCTGTAAGAATTTAGTATAGGGTGATATTTCAAATCAGTAAGGCAATGTTTCTAAACCTCAACACTAGTGACATCTTGGGCTAGATATTACTATGTTGTAGGGGGCTGTACTATGCACTGTAGGACATTTAGCAGCATCCACAGCCTCCACCTACTACATGCAATAGCACCCCTCCCCCCCCAGTTGTGACAACCAAAAAATGTCTCCAGATATTGCTAAATGTTCCCTGCAGAGCAGAACCACTACAGTAATGATGGATTATTTAATAATGTGGCTAGTCGTCTTTTTAATGGTTAGAATGTTACTCTCACAGCTTATGAAAATAAGTTACATATGAATAAAAAGTCTAAACAAAAAAATTGTAAATGTGTGAAATGTGAAAATATTTTTATGATCACAGAGTGAGAGATACCTTTCTTCCCAAGAGGTGCTACTGCATATAGTAGATGGAGGCCGTGTATACTGCTAAGTGTCCTACAGTGCATAGGACAGCCACCCATAGCAAAGTAATATCTAGCCCAAGATGTCACTACAACTCAGGAAATTACTTGTATGAGGACATAAAAATTTTATACTTCCAAAACAAAACACAAATGAAGGTCAAAAAAAAAGCTGGGGGGAAAAAATCACCTCCCATAAAGATAAAAGGCTAATTTCCTTTACTATGTAAAAAAGATCCTATAAATTAGTAAGAAAAAGTCAACTCAGAAAAAAAAAAAAGTGGAAAAAATTAAAGAACAATTCATAAACAAATGGATTAAACATATGAAGAATGCTTAACTTCTCTCATAATCACATGCAAATTAAAAACAGTCCTATCATTTTTCAAGTATAATATCAAATGTTTTCATTTTTGTCAGTGTTGGAGAGGAAGAAGGGAAAATGGCCTTCTAGGCAAGAGTGTAAATTAGTAAAAACAATTTTGGAGGGCAATTTAGCATTATCTAACAAAATTAAAAATGAACGTATTTCTCATAGTGTCCCATACCAGGGCAAACCGTGACCCTGAGCCACTGCCTGGCGTCTGTGTCCATAGGCTGCTGGCACTGAAGCAGACTGCTCAGTGGAAAAAGAAAATGACCCTACTTTGTGAGGGAGAGGGAAGGTAACAGAACCAACTTCTGGACTATGAAATATGAACAAGACTAGTATGAGACAAGGTAGGCATCTACAAACTTGCTATCACTTCAAATCAATGTTCTGTAAGTACTTTGAATATTAACTAAATGAAGATGAGGAGACACTGATTTTCTATTTAAACCATTTACCTTTGAAAAAGGAAAACAGACTAAGAACATACATAAACCTTTTACCCAGAATTTCATTTCTAGGAACTTATAATACAGATATACTAGGAAAAGTATTCAAAATATGTGTACAAGGATATTCACTGCAGCACTGTTTGTAACAGGAACAACTCTAAATAATCCTGGTATCCATCAACTATAACTGGTTATATAAATGATGATACAATCACACAATACCATGAAGCTATTAAAAATTAAAAATAGAGGGCCAGCCCGGTGGCGCACTGGACAGTGCGCCGCTTGGGAGCGCGGCGGCACTCCCGCCGAGGGTTCGGATCCCATGTGGAGACCGGTTCCCGCTCACTGGCTGAGCGCGGTGCGGGCACAACACCGAGGATTGCAATCCCGTTACCGGTCAGTAAAAAAAGACAAAAAGGAAAAAAAAAGAAAAAAGTTAAAAATAGAAATGTGCTTATATGGAAAGATCTAAAGATCATTAAATGGGGGCAGGGAGAGGGAAAGGAAGAAGCAAAATACCAAAATGTGTATAATTAAATATAAAGTATGCTTTAAAAACAAATATGTATACACACAGTTTATGCACAAGTACTTTCTCAAAAGATACAGCAACAACTGGCAGTAGTTTTCTCTGAGGAATAAAACACAGTATCTGGGTGGAAGGGAAACTTTATATTCTATTTCCTTTTGTAGCAGTTAAAGAAAAATTTTAAATATACAAAGACAGCAATTGACACAATAAATTTTAAGTAATCATATTCACCTGTAAGAGCTCTGTTTTGCTAGAAAGATCACTCTCCCTCTCTTTTAGCATAGCTTCTACTCTCTTCATTTCATTTTCCTTTTCTTTCAACCTAGAATTTTTACAAAGACCTTATATTTACTAATGCACATTTTTTTTTAAAAACTGACTCCAATATCACCCCTAAGAAAAAAGACAGCAGAAACAATGCCTACCAGCTCCTTCACCCCATATTACACCAACTTACAAGTTTGTCTTAAAAGACAGTGTTTCCAGGATCAGTCTAGTCAAAGCATACCCTAAAACTGCTACATCTTATTTCATATTTAACATTTTTTAAGCAAATATGGCTTTATCTAGGAGGAAATTCTAAAACAAAGCCTAAGAACAGAGCTATATTTTGTCAACTCTTTATAAAAATTACCACTTTAAAAAAAATGAGTTTTGCTCTAAAGAATCTTGTTTATAATTGGTTGACTCTGGAATTACAATGTACCCAACCCTTGTGCTGAAGAGATGCTACATTTAATTTAATCTGGTTCTCCCTTACCAAGACCAGATGTCTTACTCTAACTACCTCAAGAGAATCCCAATTGCCCTTGTCATCCTAAGTGATAGACCTGTAACATAACACTTAACACTATTAAAATGATCTTTTTATCTATTTCCTCAGGATAGAAACCCATCTTATCCATTTCAGTATCCCCCAGTGCCTGAAGGCACATAATAGACTCTCAAGTACTTGCCCACTTGAACACTATTTCTATTCCACCTTAATCTAGAAAGAATTTCAAGATGCTTATAAGTCTATATGAAAAATGACAAAACAGCATACAGGAAGAGTGGGATTAAAGGATGAAAAGAAAAGGCAAATCTTAAATGCATTGCTAAGTGAAAGAAGCCAATCCAAGAAGGCTACATACTGTATGATTCAAACTATGACATTCTGGAAAAGGCAAAACTACAGAAACAGTAAGATCAGTGGTTGCTAGGGATTCAAAGGGCAATGGGAGGGAGGGGGATGGAGAAAGGGTGAGAGGTATGAACAGGTGAAGCCTAGGAAATTTTAAGGGCAGTGAAACTATTCTGTATGATATGTAATGATGGATACATGTCATTATTCATTTGTTAAAACCCACAAAAAGTGAACCCTAATGAAAACTGAACTTTAGTTAATAACAATGCATTGCTACTGGCTCATCATCTGTAACAAATGCACCCTGCTAATGCAAAATGTTAATAATGAGGGAATCTGGAAAAAGTGTGGGGGGTAATATAGAAACTCTGTACATTTCTCTCAATTTTTTTCTGTAACCTAAAACTGTTCCCCCCAAAAAATAAAATCTACTAATTTAGAAAAAGAAAAGACAAGGAAAACATAAGGCAGATACAAACATAAAATTACATATTTTAATGATCTATATACATACTACAAATAGGCTGCAAATGTGTCTCTGAGCTTTCCATTAGCAAATGAGAGATAAGCACCCTAACAGTTACACAATGCCCACAAGATAAATAGTTTTACAAATGAGCAATCCTGGTGCCAAGAATAGAGTGTCTCCCTCATTTTCATGTAGACAATAACCTAATAAATATCTTCAGCATCTCACTTTTAAGGATACAATTCCAAAGAGGCACTTCTTAAAAACAAACATCAATAAAAACTGATGTCATTACATCAAAGAAAAATCTCTTAAAAGTAATTCATTTATGCATTATGTCTAAGATTATCTTCTAATTCAGAGATATTATTTGAATGCATTTTTATATTGAAAATAATTTTATATTTTAAATAATTTGAAATAAATTTTATATCTCACTACAATAATTGCACTCTTTGTTTAAAAACAGAACTTAAAACCACTTTTTAAAAAAAACTTTTTGCAGGGCTGGCCCGGTGGTGCACTGGAGAGTGCGCCGCTTGAGAGCGTGGCAGCGCTCCCGCCGTGGGTTCGGATCCCATGTGGAGACCGGTTCCCGCTCACTGGCTGAGCGTGGTGCAGGCGCAGCACCGAGGGTTGCGATCCCGTTGCCGGTCCCTGGTGCGGGCACAACACCGAAGGTTGCGATCCCGTTACCGGTCAGTAAAAAAGACAAAAAGG